GCCGGCACGTCAAAGGGTCGGAAGGAGCCCGGAGGACCATGCTCGGTAGCCGGAGGTTCGTGGGGCCGAACAGTTGCTGCGTCACAGCGCTCGGGCGTACAGTCTGTATTACAGGCAGCGGTAAGGTCTCCTGGAAGGATCTCAACTACTATACAACTACGTGTAGAAGTAATAGAATCATCAGAAGTAATAGAGGTATCAGAATCACTAGAAGGCATTTTAGCATCAATCAAAATGGTAATTAGAGTGGTGATAATAGGTAAAAGAGCATAGGGGTACATGACGTATCGTTAAGTACCCCTTTGAATGCGGGGTAATATTGGGTAAATAGTGGGTATTTGGAGGTCTTGGCAAAAATGGCGTCAAGCAGCACCCGATGGGATAAGCTCAGCTATCCCCTCGACGGCGATAAAGCTGCAGACCCACTTATTTCTCCGCACTACGAACACGTGACTTTGAGTACATGACGCAACGTCACTTATTGCTATGCTATTTTCTATGGCAACACCACAAAAAAAAACACACTGAAGTCTTTGAAATCAGAGTACCCACTGTTAGCAGCTGTTAAGACCATAGAGGGCTGCGGCCCACCACACTATCATTTCTCATCATCAGCCCACGCGAGCTGAATCCCACCATCATGGCCGTCTCCCTAGATGTCGGGCCAACTATCACAGTCCACGGGGACGCCAGTACTTCTCGACGGTCGGGACGAGTCCGAAAACCGACCGCAAAGGTCAGAGTGGTTGAGCAAGTCAGCTACCAGGACAATGCTGAGCTTAAAGATGAGATCAACAAGCTCTCAAATCTTGTCCAGGACCTCCTACGACGGGACGCTGAGAGGGAACAATTCCTAAAAGACTGCTTGAAGAAGATCGAATCCTTGGAAAGAGAGCTTCAGGAGGAGAAGCAGCAGTCAGACCGGCACCAACGGGGTCTAGCAAGGTCTATGCATGCTGTTAGCACAGGACCCAGCGAGTCCGCCCTGAGTCTCCAAGGGCATCCCTTACACACAGCCCAGAACCAGCCGACCCCAGTTCCTTCCTACGCGGCGGTGGCGAGCCAGCCACTAAACAGAAGACAGGACAAACCGAAGCTAACAAAACAAGCTGCAAAACAAGCCCGAAACCAGGCGGCCTCGAAAGACCTGCGCGTCTTCGCGCGTCTGCCACCTGACAACCCGCTTCGTAACGAGAGGGCCTACGACATATACGCCTTCGTTCGAGAAAATCTGAGTCCCCAAGCTCGAGAAGCCCTCAAGGGGATCGACCATGTAAAGACAGGATTAGCACTCCTACCTTCATCAGCGGATGGCGCAAAAGCCCTGCTGGAGAACAGAGAACAGATTGCTGCCCTTCTCCAGGCGCAGGCGGTCGAGCAGCGCGATACCTGGATCCGAGCCTATATCGCAAATGTCCCTTGTACTAGGCATTGTTTGATAACTAACACCGAGCTGGAGATCACGACCGAGGAGCTCCTTGAAGAGATACAGATTGTGACAAAACTCAAGCCTGAAAAAGCATACTTTTCCAGAAAAGACGAAGTCGAAAAGCTGGGTACGGTGACAGCCTGGTTTAGGGCGGACGCCGTAAGGCAACTACCAAGACGCCTCCGTCTGATGGGGGCCAGCGTTTTTGTGAACCTGCAGTTTCCGAGGGAGAAGAGGTCCCCCCAATGCTACCGCTGCGGCGGCTTTCACAGCGAACGAACGTGCACCAGAAGGAAGAGATGCCTCAAGTGCAGCTCTCCCTCCCACACGACTGACTTACACCGGGCACCCTGCGGCGGCACCGAGGGTCACGATGGCTGTGACTGCCCCTTTAAATGCCCATCGTGTAACGGCCCCCACTCCGCCTTTGATGCGACTTGCCCTATCAAACCCAAAGTGGTGAAGGGCGTAGTCCAGAGGAGGAACAAGGCACAGCTACGGGCCATCCGAGCTGAGGGAGAGAGATCGTGGAGAATTGCGACCCAGCAATCGCATCGACATTCCCATGAAGAAGGACAAGTGATGGACCGCGCCCCGACAAATGAGACACAGCAGGAGCAGACAGTCCTCTAGGATGCTGCAAATCATGCAAGCAAACGTGGCCAGACGACCATCTGCACACGAAACGGCACTGAATCTAGCCTACGCGGCCCATGTCGACATACTGCTACTACAAGAGCCCGCTATCCGCTCGGAAGAGAGAAGGCTCACAAGATGCCACCCGGGTTTTGAGATTTTCACCCCAGTGGACAACTGGGTTGAAGACAGACCTAGGGTGCTCACTTACCTCCGCAGAGGAACGGGACTACGGGGCGTACAAACACGCCCACTGCCCAGCCCATCCACAGATCTGCTCTTCCTACAACTCCTGGTGGGAATGCGGAAAGTCCTCACAGTCATCAACGTTTACAACCCCCCTTGCGGCTCGCTGCGACCCGGTCAAGCGGTTAGGGATATCATAGCGGCCTGGCAACCGAAACCCGAGGATCGAGTACTGATCGCGGGGGATTTCAACCTACACCATTGGACCTGGCAGCCCGATGCCACAGGCTCCCCTGACGCTGACAACCTGGTAGAATGGGCTGAAGCCGCCAGCCTTGTCCTGCTGTCGCCGACAGGTGAAGCTACACACGAAGACGGCAACACGTTAGACCTATGCTGGGCGTCCAGCAACCTCTATGGGGCATCCACCAGCATAGAAACGTCCCTACACACAACGTCTGATCACGAATCTCTGCTTACCCGGGTCCCCTTGGCCCTAGCCGATATACCCAGCCCAACTGCGGGAAAGTTCCGGCTCGACACGATGGATGAGAAGCTCTTCCTCGACGTTCTTAGGCGAAACATGCAACCTCTGCGCCATACTGCAAGCAACGCAAGAGGTCCACAGGCGTTGGACCTCCTAGCGCAGCAGCTCACAGATTGTCTTGGAGAAGCGCTTACGGCTTCTACAAGGCGCACGCTTGGCAGAGGACCAGGGAGGCCATACTGGAACGAAACCTGTACGCGCAAACACCAAGCCTATACGACTAAAAGAGGAACCGTCGCGAGACTCCGCGCTTTGGGAATAGACTGTCAATGGGAGCGAGAGGAGGAGGACATCCTTAAACAGGACTTTCTCCGTGAGCTTCGCCGTTCCAAGGACACCTACTGGAGAGAAAAGATCGCCGCAGCCTCCACAGGCAAAGACGTATTTGAAATGGTCGGGTGGCACAAAGCCACAGGATCCTTCCAGACCCCACCACTCCGAGATGAGGACAACCCATCCACTCTCGTCTCACAACCGAAAGAGAAGCGCGACTTGTTTGCCCGCGTTCTTCTCAGAAATGCTGCCATCTCTGCGGACATACCAGCAGAGACCCTAGTACCCCACCCGCAGGCCAAACTTCCTTTCCCACAGATCACAAAGGACGAGATACGTACTTCAGTCCTCTCTGCGGGAAGCACTACCCCTGGGTCCGATGGAATCACGACGGCCGTTCTCAAGACCGCATGGCCAGTCATTGAGGACATTGTCTTCTCGCTCTACAGCGGATGCATACGCGAGGGCTGGCATCCCACCAGTTTCAAAGAAGCAATCCTAGTCATCTTGCCTAAGCCGGGCAAGAGAGACAGGGCGCTCCCGCGCTCTTATAGACCAATTGCGCTCTTGTCCGTACTTGGAAAAGGCTTGGAGAGACTTGTCGCAAGGAGGCTTGCCTGGATCACAGTCAAGCACCGGATACTGCACGACCAACAGTTCGGCGCCCTCCCTCTTCGCTCGTGTAGCGATCTCACTGGTGCTGCCATCCACGATATCGAGTGCGCCTGGCAGAGGGGTCTTGTCACCTCCATGCTCACACTTGACGTGAAAGGGGCTTTCGACGCCGTGCTGCCAGGGCGGCTGGTCCATCGCCTCCGCCAACAAGGATGGCCGGAGAACCTCGTCAAATGGGTTTCGAGCTTTGTCATCGGGAGAAGAGCAAGAATTAGGTTGGACGGAGAGATGGGAGACGTCTTCGACCTCGAGTGTGGGTTACCACAGGGCTCACCCGTGTCTCCCATCCTCTTCATGCTCTACATCGAACCTCTATTCAAGCTGGGCACTGCGCGTCCCGGAAGGAAGCGGTCTCGGTTTGGCTATGCCGACGACATCGCCATCCTGGCATCCTCAACCTCTCTAGAAGACAACTGTGCCCTACTAGCTAAAGAATGGCAAGAAGCCCTGGGATGGGGCGCGTCGGAGGGTATCACGTTCGATCTCGACAAGTTGGAACTCATCCATTTCACCAAGAGACGCAAAGATGGAAACCCGCCAATATCTATCACAATGTTGGACGGGCGGCAGCATACAGTTCATGCTGTTGACCAAGGTTCCTCTCTGCGATGGCTTGGCGTCCACTTCGACCGAAGGCTCTCATTCAAGAACCATGTGAGAGACCTCTGCGCCAAAGCATGCCGGGTAGTCAACGGACTGCGAGGACTAGGGAACACCGTCTGGGGCGCGCCGGCGCACCTCCTTTGTCGTGCTATTACCTCTTGCGTATCACCTATTCAGTATTACGCATCGGAGGCATGGTGGCCCGGCAGGAACCGGGTCAAGAATGGACACACTGTGTCGAACGGGGTCAACGGTCTGCTTCACCAACTTGACACTATGCAAGCCAAGGCCATCAGATCTGTACTCCCAGTGTATAGAACGACGCCTGTACCGATCCTACAGCGCGAAGCTGCCCTGCCGCCGGCAGAGGTGATATTAGACGCGAAGCTCTACAAAGCCTCTGTAAGGGTCCATCGCCTTGACGAACGACATCCCCTCCGGAAGAGGCTCGGAGACAGGCCAGGACCAGACTCTAGGCTACGACGAATGGCATGGCTTGCAGATGGCAATGCTGAATACATAGACCCGCTGGAACTACCACCTTGGGAGTGCTTAGCGGACTGGCATAAAGTCCTCCGGAGAGTCGGGTACGACCCTGGGAAGGCCAAGGAAGAACTAGCCCTCGAATTTACAGACAGACTGGGAAAGTTCTCAAAGCGGGATATTGTTGTCTATACCGACGGTTCCCAAACGACAGACGGAAGCAGAACCTCCGCCGGGGCTGGCTGGGTAGGATACCAGGCCACACGACAGATCTTCCGGGGATCCGAACCGCTCGGCCACCAAACGGAGGTCTTTGACGCAGAGGCGCAAGCCGCTCTTCAGGGCCTGCTGGAAGCCGTAAGGTCTCCCACGGCGCGGATGGCAGACAATGTTCATATCTGCCTCGACAACCTCGCAGTCGCGGCTAGGCTCGTTGCTCGGAGCGCAGGAAGCAGCCAGACTAGATTTAGGGCCTTTAGTGGGCTCTCCTGCTCTTGGAAACAGAGAGAACGGACAAGCTGGACGATGCCCGGCAGGGTATACATATGGTGGTGCCCTGGACACGCGGGAATACCAGGAAACGAGGAAGCGGACTCTCTGGCCAAGGAGGCCTGCAAACAAACCCCAGAATCACATCCACGGCCTACATTGGCGCACTTGAAACGGCAGTCTAAAGCGGTCGCTTTCCAAACTTTCGACAGAAGATGGCCATCACTCTGCCCTCGGCAGTATGCCGACCTTGGGATAGTCCCCCATCCCAAGCCCCCCGAGCTTCGCCTTCCTCGACACCTGCTGGGAAGGCTGTATGCATCAAGATCGCATCACGGAGACTTCGCAGCATACCACGAGAGGTTTGCCCATAAGGACGCACTGCTCGACTGCAGTTGTGGTAGACGCAAAACCCCAGTGCATTTCTACTTCTGCAAGCGTGGCCGGAAAGCCACCCCAGCCCATCTTCGCCGACATATGGCGAAAGCAAGCATAGATTTTCTGCTAGGTTCTACGCAGGGAGCCTCTCTTCTGTGCGATTGGATGGAGGCAACCAATTTCTTTTCTGAAATCTGCCCGACTCATTGAACAGGAACGTTAGGTGAAGACGGCAGCCTGTAAAATAGTATAGATTAGCATAGACCATGTCGGCATCGCCCGGCACGTCCCTTTTTACTCTGGACGTTAAATATATCATCATCATCATGGAGGAGCCAAAAGTGAAGCAGGCAAATATGGACGCAGGCATGTATGGACACAGACAATAATGGACGAGCCAAAAGTGACGCAGACAATAATGGACCACGTTCTCGGCCCCAGGGGGACTCGGCCTGGGCCATGGTCTGTAATCGAGACCGGTGTGGACCTATGTGACCTAGAAGGAGTTATGAATCATATCGTAGAGTGCCACTTTCGGCCGGATCTGCACGCCCACCAGGGGTAAGATCCGGCTTTAGGTCATAATGCCACCTTATGCGAAGTGAGAGAAGACGGGGAAATGGAAGCAGGTCCAGACCATCACGCAAAAAAAAAAAAAAAAAAAAAAAATCATCCGCTGGAGATGCTGGAGGTGCTGCAGAAACACACAGGATCAACTTTTGGATGTGATGAAACTGGAAATGACTTTATACTAGATTAGCGCCACATCCGGGAGCAACGCCGATGGTGTCGTAGGATAATGAGTCGGTTTAAAGCTCCAGAGAAGCGCGATAGACACATTCACTGTGAGACGATTTCAGATGAACGAAACCATGGCCGGTGCGTCTTCGGAAAAAACGATATACACCTACGACAAGAGAACCAAGAACAAGGTCCGAAAATCCGGTGGCAGCGCCAAAAGGAAAGCGGTTCAGTTAGGCGAAGAGGCCCGTGTGTTTTCGACTGTTGTCTACTTCAACCCAACACATGGATGTCTAGACGGGGCCATACACGTGCCTCCAGTGAGCACACTGGATGCTGCTTGAAAAAGCAGTAGGACGATGTGGCAGACCTTCTCGTGGTGTCCGGTGTCAGTAGGAGTGGTGGGTGTGGCGCGGTGTGTCGCGCGCGGTCGAAAAACCGCGGTTGGATGGTGCTATGAAAATTTTCATCGGCACTCTCGGACCTACAAACGGACTACGCGATCAACGACCGCCGCACCACCCACGCCATTTCCGAAGCCAACATGCTACGCGGGGGATACTGGCGTAAGAAAACCATCCGACTTGACATTGGCTGACGTCGATGAAGAGACAGGACACCCTCCGGCCCATCCGGCTCTGGGCTCGGGAGGCGGACGAGTCGAGCATCATGAGGCATCGGCGCGTCTCCCGGCGAGGGCTCGGAACAAGCCTACGTGCTCTGGTCGAGCGTAATGGAAGTTGTTAAGACCGACGGGTTGGCATGGTGTCAGCAGACTTGTTAAGCTTCGAGCACAGGAAAAGCGGCCGGACCGATCCCGAGGACACAGCGCACCGCGATCGAACACCATACGGCGGACATGGGTTGGGTTAGTGGACAGAGTGCGAGTAGTCGTGCCGGCGTGATGGCTGCTCTGCGCCTCTGATCTGCAAGACATGGTTGGCTGCGAGTCGGAGACGAGTCGCGGTAACGGGAAGCTGGACCTGGGGTTGCGCCCGGGGTTTCCGGTGGGCCGTAGCGCCGTGGTCGTGACCAGAAGGCAGCGGGGGAGCTGCGTTCCCAGTTCGTACCTGGGCCGTCGCTTGGACGCGGTATCGCCGGTACATTCGATGCACTCCCAGTTCGTACCTGGGGCGTCTAAGAAGACGTGGTATCGCCGGCGCAGTAGCCCCTGCACTTGAGACCTGCGGAGACGACACGGTGGCTTGAGAGGACGGAGGCGCATGTCGGTCGGCTCAGAGACGGGACTGCCGTTGCGGCCGGCTTAAGGTGCAAACTCGAACGACGCGACCGTATGGCCCGTACCGGATACGGGGCGGCACCGTCTCGGCTTTGCCTGGGGCCGAGACACTCCTGTGGGAAGGTCTCCAGACGGAGCAAAAGGCTAACGGGGTCGTTAAGGCACAGCCACGGCCGGCCGAGTGGCTTCCCGGAAGGGGTGGGTTGTTCGGGGCCATCTACGTTTTCTCCACCAACAAAGCGGCCGTCTTAGCAGCAGGAAGACCACGACAACAATCGGGCCAACAAGAAATCCGTCGCATAAACGAGGCAGCCAAGACGCTCGAAAGTGAAGGCAACAAGGTTACAATTTTCTGGCTTCCGGCAGAAGTAGAGTCCGACCTCAAGTGGGCGGCCAAAACAGCGGCGAAAGAGAGTACGCAACTGGGGAAGACGCCGGGGAAAAAGCCAGCGAGGGCCTATTCAACTACCCTAAGACACGCGTTAGAGAGAATACAGAAGTATAGCAGGTTACCTGAAGGTGTAGGAAAGTTCTCGAAGAGGGTTGATGCTGCCCTGCCGGGAATGCATACACGGCAACTGTACGACTCCTTTTCATGGAAGGAGGCCAGCATGCTGGCCCAGTTACGGACGGGGATGGCTAGGCTCAACTGGTACCTGCACCAGATTGGGGCGACCGCCTCAGATCAATGTGCATGCGGACAAGCAGCAGAGACGGTCGAGCATTTTCTCTTCCGGTGCACCCAGTGGACAGCACAACGCGCACCGATGACCCAACGAACTGATACACACAGAGGCAAGCTATCATTCTACCTAGGCGGGAAGGCAGCTTTCGACCCCGACGATTGGTCGCCATGTATGGATGTTGTAAGAGAAACGGTGAAGTTTGCCATGGCAACTGGACGACTCAATAGGCAGGTCAACTAAAGACGAGACGAGAGCGACACATCATCGCACAGCCTATACTAACCACCGACTCACCCCATACGCACCTCGTGCCACCGACAGCAGGGCTCGCTTCAGCCGCCGAAGATAGGGACCTGAACACTGGGAGGAATTGGCCCCAAGAATACCTGCTACTAACCCCACGAGAAACCCCTCCCCCGCCACAAAAAAAAAAAAAAAAAAAAAAAAAGAAACCCTCCCCCCCCCCCCAAAAAAGTTTATTAATAAATATCGGAAGGAGTAATCAGTGACACGGACGGAAATGGATCTTGCTTATGGGCTTAGCTGAGACCAGGGTAGACACTCAACAAGGGGAGCATTGAAGATAGATACAAGAGCCCTTTATGGCTTAGCCAGGGCGTAATAAACTCTGCCTGCCTGCCTGCCCTTCTGATCCTCATCTGAGGATACTCGTACGTAGTCACCATAGCTGGTTGCAATACACCTCGCCTTGGACCGTTACAGTGTACCACGATCAACACTTCGAAGCCGGCTCAAAGGCACCCAACCTAGGGCAGCAGCCTTTGCTGACCTCCAGAGGCTCTCTGTTAGTCAGGAAGCTAAGCTAGCCAGCTGGGTACAAATCCAGGCTGACCTTGGGCTTGCGCCAACACATCAACAAGTCAAGGAATTTGCCCAGCGTATCCTAAATGCTATGGGAGATACCCAGCCTCTAGGAAAGAGATGGATAGAGTCCTTCGTACGAAGAAACCCATCTATCAAGGTCTAGAGAAGTCGATCTATTGATTCTAGACGCGTTAATAGGGCATCTACTGAGGTTATCAGGAACTGGTTCAGATATCTCGCAATCCCGGCAATATGTAACGGTCCAAGGCGTATGTATTTGCAACAGGCTATAGCGACTACTACGAGTATCCTCAGATAAGGATCAGAAGGCAAGCAGGCAGAGTTTATTACGCCCTAGCTAAGCCATAAAGGGCTCTTGTATCTATCTTCAATGCTCCCCTTGTTAAGTGTCTACCCTAGTCTCAGCTAAGCCTATAAGCAATATCTATTTCCGTCTATGTTACTAATTACTCCTTCCGATATTTATTAATAAACTTTTTTAGAGGGTTTTTTTTTTTTTTTTTGGTAGCAGGGGAAAGGTTTCTTGTGAAGTTAGTAGCAGGTATTCTTAGGGCCAATTCCTCCAAGTGTTCAGGTCCCTATCTTCAGCAGCTAAAGCAAGCCTTGCTATCAGTAACACGAGGTGCATATATAGTAAGTTAGTGGTTAGTATAGGCTGTGTGATGGTGTGTCGCTCTTGTCTTGTCTTTAGTTGACCTGCCTATTAAGTCGTCCAGTTACTATAGTAAACTTTACCGTTTCTCTTACAACATCCATACATAGCGACCAATTATTAGGGTCAGAAGCTACCTTTTCGCCTAGGTAGAATAATAGGTTACCTCTATGTATATCAGTTCGTTAGATCATTGGTGCACGTTATACTATCCACTAGGTACACCAGAAAAGAAAATGCTTGACCGTCTCTGCTGCTTGTCCACATACACATTGATCTAAGGCGGTTGCCCTAATCTGGTACAGGTACCAGTTAAGCCTAGCCATCCCTGTCCATAACTAGGCCAGCATGCTGGCCTCCTTCCATAAAAATAAGTCATATAGTTACTATGTATACATTCCCAGCAGGGCAACATTAACCCTTTTTAAGAACTTTCCTACACCTTCAGGTAACCTGTTATACTTCTATATTCTCTTTAACGCGTATCTTAAGGTAGTTAAATAAGCCCTCGCTAGCTTTTTCCTCGGCGTCTTCCCTAGTTACATACTCTCTTTCGCTGCTGTTTTAGCTACCTACTTAAGGTTAGACTCTACTTCTGTAAAAAGCTAGAAAATTGTAACCTTGTTACCTTTACTTTCGAGCGTCTTAGCTACCTCGTTTATGCAATGGATTTCTTGTTGGCCTAATTATTATCGTGGTCTTTCTGCTGCTAAGATGGCCGCTTTGTTAGTAAAGAAAACGTAGATAGCAAGGTAATAGACTCTCTTTGAAAGAGACTCCAACACTACTACTATCACTATAAGTGCCGCTCTATATAGGTTTAACTTTGTCCTAGGGCCAATAGTGGTTAATCCTGTTGTCGTAGAGCCGCCTCTCCTGTGTGACAAAGGGAGTAGTACTACTGTTCTGTGGCCCACGACTCCGTTTCTTGCTAAGCTACTTGTCGCAGCCCTCATGGCCCACCCAGTCTGGGTTGCCTTGCTTGCCCTGTCGTCGTCTTCTTCTACTACCGTATAGATTCAGCTTTCCCACGGTAGCTGTGGAAACGCTCCAATGGTCTCTAGCCTGTTCACTGCTAGGTCTTAGTATGCTGTAGCTATCTTCTAGAAAGGCAAGATGTACCTCTTGAAGCTCTAAGGTCTAATGTGTTGTAGCAGGTAACTTGTAGGCAAAGTCTAGCGATACCACCTAGAACTTAATTGCTTTTCTTTTAAATCGTTCCTGGGCTAACTATATACTTGCTTCTGCTTTGGTAACTACTGTGGCTACTATAATAAAGGTTCTAGTGATCGCTTAAGCTTTAATCCTCTATATCCTATTAATAACTTTCATCTAGGCTACTCTGCACCTGTGTTTCCAGACGTTCAACGCATAATCTATTGTCGGCGCTACTGCCGCCACAAAGAGTTACCTTGCCGTCAATAAAGATAGGCCTTTAAGTCATCTAAGCCCCAGTACAGCTTCAAGGCCTTTTAACGCCACTTCTGCCACATGTTACTTAAAATAGAGTTTGGTATCCATGATTACGCCTAAAACCTTTATGTGGTCTTTAGGCCTGACTGTGTCCCCTTTGATATCGAAGGTGAAGTAATCTTCCGGTTTTTGCCAGTCACGGGTGAAGTGTATGATGGCTGTCTTGTCTGTTTCAAATGTTGCCCTGCTTCATCATTCCTAGTCAAGAGCTCATTAATAATAACCTAGATTCCTTGTCGGTTTGCTTCTCGCAATGGTCCAGTGACCTATGCCGTATAGTCGTCTACAAATACCAGTAATCCTCTATTCTTATCAATTTAGTACTAGACTAAATCGGTGTTAAAGAAAAGGAATAAGATAAGCAATAGCAGTAAGCCTTAAGGTAGCCTAGCTTGAGGCAAGAAGCAGACCTCTAAGTCCTGGCTATTAACCTAGATGCTTACTGTC